GTCAAACCTGGTAAAGGAGCAGCTTTCGTAAGGACCAAAATGCGCAATTATGTAACAGGAAACACAGTTGAAAAAACTTTTCGAGCAGGAAGCTCGGTGAGTAGTAGAATTATTATATGTTCGTGCATGCTAGACTCGGTAGCTCGTAATCATTTCAATCCTCTATAATCACTACTAAACGGTTTAACATCCTTCACTTCATTTCCCATTGATTTTGTTTGATATAAATCTTTTGTTTAATTGAACTCTGCGTCTGATTCAGCTATTATTCAATTGATACCCCCACCATATAAACCGGGTTAGAAAGTCATAGGAACTTTATAGCTACTCATAAAGACTCGATTGCGAGAAAAGCGAAAAAAAGATTTTCCTCAGGTGTAAAATTGACATTCTCAGCTGCTTGTATGATGTAATTTGCAATTGCAACTACTAGTTTGGATAACAATGTAAAAATTAAAACAAATCTGCCTGATAGATTTTAACAACTACATTGAAAACGGGATGCTAAACCACAGCAGGAAATGAGTTATGCCCTCGAACGTTTTCTTAAGGCCATGATTCTGTAAAAATGTTCTACAAGTGTGATGTTCATCTCATATTTTCTTCCACGTCCATTATTATGTATTTATGTAAAATTTGTCTTTCCAGCTTGATGAGGCCAATGTATACAAGGAAGTCAAGCAATTCACTTACAAAGACGGTTCCCAGTTTGTTTTCATGGACCTGGTATATATAGTTATTATTTGATTGTTATTGGCACCTTTCTCACAAGTCAAGAAGAATATCTCTCAAGATGACTTGATACATCATACGTAGGGTAGCTCTTGTCACATTCATGTTTATGTGAAGCTTTAGTCGATAAATTTAGTTTGCTAGTCCTCACCAGCAAGAAATGAGTCTAATTGGCTTGTTTTACAGAATACGTATGAGGAAATACGCCTAAATGCAGCAGATGTTGGTGATAGGACAAAGTGGCTGAAAGAGGGGATGGATTGCATTGTATTGTTTTGGAATGGGAAGGTATATCCGGTCACTTAGACACCTTTAGACAGGGTTTTTTTTACTTGTGTTGCACAATTAGAGTCGATCATGCTGTTCTTAAATAGCTCACATCATGGCTCACTTTTAAAAAATATGATTAGAGTTGGCAGCTTTCTATCTCTTAATGAATCTGTCACATGTCAGGGATTTTGCTTTCAAGTTTTTCAAGGTTTCATAATGTCCTTTTATCAAAAAAAAAAAAAAGGTGTCATAATGTCAGTGTGGCATCTGTTAACAAGAAGTAGGATGTGATGATACTAGTTATGATATTTTCTCATTCCAATTTCCCCCCATCATAGGTTATTGATTTTGAGGTTCCCATCACAGTTCAACTGACTGTGGTCGAGGTTGATCCTGGACTGAAAGGTGACACGGCACAAGGTACCAAAATTTTACTTGTCTGGCAAAACTCAAGGACCAATCATTTTATCTAATTCTCGTTAGCGTTTTGTAGCCAGTTGAGGTTCTTTGGGTTTAAATGGACTAAAATTTCCTCATGTACGACAAAGCATATTTTAGTGGAATTAGATCAGTGCAGAAACCAATCTTTTAAGACCATTATATTAGTTACTTCTGACATATGCATGTTAAAACATAAGTTAATGAGTTATTAATTGACAAAATAAATTTGGAGAATAGACAGGTTCTTACTTTTTAGTTGCTCTCAAACACACTCAATTGAGCTTTACGTCTGGATGCTAAGGGGATGTTGCTAACTACCCAAAAACACAGTAGAATATTTATTGTAGAAAAAGTTGTCAATACTTTTTAGCACTTGATCAAGTAACAAAGCATCATTTTTGGGACTCAATCTTTAAATGTAGATCATATTTATTCTTGTAATTTCATTACTATACATTATATTGGATATTTATATTTGAGCATTGCTCAACTAGTTAATGCACTAATAACCTCCCTAAAGTCTCTCAACTTCTTGGAGCATAACTAGACATAGAAGTTGGAGGTTAAAACTCCCACCCCTATATGTTGAACTAAAAAAGGTTAAAAAAGAAATAAAGAATTTAATTTAATATGATAATTAATGAACTAAGTTATGGAACTGGTGAATAATTTATTTATGAGAACTGACAAGATGATATTGATGCTCATACCTAGCACTATGATAATTCGACGCCAGGTTCTCGTTGCAGATTTATAATTATTTTTTTTGAGTTCAACAATTATGAGGATGATGAGAAATTGATACCTTTTTCATTGAGCTATGCTTGGCCTCTCATGCTGCAAATTGATTGCATGACATGTTTGATTGATTCATCACCTAAATAATGTCGTGGTGTTTTAACACGTCATTATTTGTACAATGTATTAATGAAGATCTACAACACCTAATTATTTAAGTAATGTATCAACCAAGAACTAGACATAGTTATTTGGGTAATGTATCAGTATCATTCAAGGGTTACTAAGGGTAGGTTTGGCCCATAGGTGTAATTAGTGTAGAATTGAGAAGCTTGTTGATCTATGTTTGAAGTATATGGAAAAATTAATTATAGAAATCTAAATTTGTAGTAGTCTGTTTTTAGCTGGCGAGCTTATAATATGTATAAGCTAGGTTCCATTACTTGGGTTCATGCAGTCCATGAAATCCGGTGACAATATCGTTAACATTGATTTCACTGATTATTCTCAATCATATGGTTTGTGCCTGTGTTGCTGTTGACATTGATTTTCTGGTCTTGATCATATAAATTGATTTTTTTATCCACAAGTCATTTCATTCTCTCCCCACCCTCCACCACATTATTTAAAAATAATTTGACAGCCTTCTAATTGGAAGATGAAATTTCATTGGCAGGTGGTTCGAAGCCCGCAACTCTTGAAACTGGTGCTGTTGTTAATGTCCCTCTGTTTATAAACGTAGGCGATAGTATAGTGATAGATACAAGGACTGGACAATACACGAGTCGGGCATGAGTATTGACACAAATAACACTATCATCGGCGAGAAGGTTTTGTCTGTACTCTTTTAAAGAGTAATTGTTGATTTTTGTTCTCTTTGTAGATTGAGCATATGGAAGATCGTTAATGGAGCTGCGAAGATTTTGTCACGATGTACTATTTTGACTATTAAGATTTGGATTCTTTAGTTAATGCTGAAGTATATCAAGCGTACCAAATTGGTGAAGGGTGAAATGGTGAAATTATGTGAAGCAGTTAATTCGTATCAGAAAGTATACCAGAGGTAATTCACTTATTGGCAGAAAATTGTTTATTGTAACTTTGTGATGGAACGGTTAATCTGCAATCAATACCCATCCAACATTCTTCCACCTAAAAATGATAGCATCAGTATTTGGGGGGTTTACGTAGAACACCCTCTCGTGGCAGGAGCCATTTCTGATGGATATAGTGCCGTGACTTGACTATGCATATTTGATCGTTGAGGTCTCTTCGTATGTTTGACACCTCGTTTCAAAGCCAAACCATACACTTTACAAGCATCAAACCACATTCCCTGTTTGTTAAGCTCATCGATTATCAGGTCATAAGAAACTCTGCTGAAAGGGATTACATGGTGATGCCCGTCTCCCACTAGTCCCAGTCCCACAACACCAAGAGCTTCATTGGTGCTTCCCCTGCGACAAAGTGCTTCAACGACGACGTTGATTGTAATGGCTCTCGGAGAGTATCCTTTTCGAATCATGTGATGCAAATTTGCCACAGCCTCCGAAATCTTGTTTCCCGAACACAGTGCTGGGATCACCACCCCATACGTACTCCGATGAATAACTTGAAATTCATTCTTCATTTTCTCGAACACTTGATGGGCATCTTCCAATAGGTCCTTCTCTTTCCAGGATCTCCTGCATAACGCTCGCATGAAGGTATTCATCATTTTTTCTTCCACGCTGTGGCCTGAGCTGACCATCTCCTTGTACGTCCTTAAAGCTGTTCGGATTTTACCCCATTTTATCAGCCCGTGCAGCAGAGTAGTGTAACTGATGCGATCGGGCATGCAGTTCATTTGCTTCATTTTCTTCAACACATGGATCCCATCCAGTGGCCTCCCCTCCTTGCAGTAGCCATTGAAGAGGGTGTTGAAAGTTACCACGCTTGGCTCTAAACCATTTTCCTCGGCTTCATTAAGCAATTCCATTGCCTCATCTGACCTGCCTACCTTACACAAGCCATCCATTAGAGCGGTGTACGTATAAATGTCAGGTACCAAGCCGTCCTTCTTCATTTTCGCCACCATTTCGCATGCCTCTTCCACTCTCCCCACGTAACACAGTCCTTTTAACAAACAATTGTACGTCCGAACCGTTTGCTTGCGTCCAATCCTTCCCACGAGCTCCACCATTTCTAAAGCTCGCTTTATTTTGCCCCTTCTGCAGAGAGCATTCACGAGAACTGTGACGGTTGCGTCGTTTGGGTTACAACCGCTTCCCAGCATTTGGTCGAAAACCCTTTTCGCATTATCCAAATCTCCTTTCTTGCAATAGCACCTTATCGCGATGGAAAAAGTTCTAGAGTTTGGGACCAAACCATACGATGATATGTTGGACAACAGTCTTAACGCAAGATCGAGCTCTTCCGCTGAGACGAAATCCGCGAACAGGTCATTGAATTCAGATATGTTTTGAATCTCACAATCTTTCTGAGACGTGATGAACATTTCAGTCCCTTCTTTCGACGGCGTTGGCAGCGATCCAATTCTGCCAGCTTCATTTTTAACGGTTATTCTACGGGGGTTCTCAATTTCCAATTTGAAGGGTAAGGCGTAAACATTGTCACCACCGAAACCAGGCCCTCTATTACGGTTGGAATGGGATTGCTTATTGGGGCTTAACCTACCATTTTCTTCAATAAAGTTCACAGATGTAGAAGAGAGTGGAAGAATTGCGTTTACAGCCAGATGCATTGGTTTATGCTTGGATCTGCTACGAAGCAAAGATTTATTTTGCAGAGATAATTGGACGGGAAGCTGAAGTTGTGGAGCGCAGGGCAGGGACAAAGCATCACTTTGCTAACAGAAGACACGACAAGAGAGGCGCTCCAGAGTCCAGAGATGTGGAGATCGGAGACTTTTTTCTTTTTTTGTTGATAAAATGGAGATTGGAGATTGGGGAAGGGTAATAAATGAAGTTTTATTGGGCCTCGAGTGGCTTGAGTTTGAGCCCAGTTCATGCCCTTGGATACCTAAAACAGCCCACAAATCTTGGAGGGAGAAGGTTCCTTAACTTGCGCCCAAATTTCACGTCAAAATAATATAAAAGGAAGAAAACAGAACAGAATAAATTATCCGATTGTTTACATTAGCTTCCTTCAACCAGAAACAGATATCACTTAAAGGAAGCACGATCGATTATGCAGTAATAGTATTGTGTTTCCTTCAAGAAATGTATGTAATTGCATTTCACACAAGATTTCTCCCCCTTGCCTTTTCAAACATTGTTGTTATTACATCATCACCCATCAGCTGGCCCGACAAGATAAGGCCGGGAAAGCATTAAAAAGAAGAATTAAAGAGGAAGGAAAGAAACCCAAACTCAAAGTCAAAGGCGCATGGATTTACTGAGGGCTTTCCAAGACATGGGATTTTTAAAATCTGGAAACTCCTTCGCCGTTGCCCTAGCCCTACTCTTTCTGTGCAAAATGGGTTTGAGTAACTTGTTGATAATCTTGTTGAAGTTGAAGGTGGCTTTTCTGGGCTGATCCTGGTATCTGTAATTGTATGGTGGTCCAACTGCAACTGAAGCTGTAAGTAGTTGCGGCTGAGACCTCATCGTCCTCGGCTCCGAAAGACTTCGCCCCAGCATTGCTTCCTTCAGTCTCGCTTCGAAGCTCACTCTCTCATATTGGTCCAACAAGTTGCTGTGTTCGTCCCCAAATTTCTTAACCACTGCCATTTCTGAAATCCAAGCCCCAATCTTCAACTGTTTAAAACTACAATATCAAAAGTCCCTGAGAAGCTTAGCAGAATCTAAACCCCATTAAATTAAGTGTCTTTTACAGAACTGGGAACTTGGAAGCAACGAATCTTGTTTATTCTCCTTCCTCTGACGGCTTATTGAACAATAAAATGACTTTACGAACCTGGGCTCATGGCCCAAGACTAGGGCCGATACATCTGTCAATGCTTTTATTGGGCCATAGTTTCAAGAAATTGTTGGATATCTTCTCTTAGGCCCATGAGATTAGAAAGCCCAACATGATATCGTCTAGTCTCATACCGAGTTTCGAGTAATTCCGACCGATTTGAAGCACGATCGATGAAACTCTCTCCCTTCACTGCGCGGTTTTCATAAGATTCGTGTCAGCAGCCATCAACTTGGAAATCCGGAATTTTATTGCAATGCCTATGCGAAGGCGAAATCCCGGATTGTGGAGCTTTTGAAAATCTCCCCTCAAAAGCATCTTACAATTTTGAGCAATTCTGTTTACACTGCTCAAATCTAGGCTGTGTTTCTAAGCTGGAGGGAATTTTTGTTTTATTATCGTTTTGCTTTGTGCGACTGAAAGTTCAATTCTCGGAGAATGAAATTCGCAAGGGTAGCTTCTGACATTTCCAATCCCACAGGCTAGAGAATTCCCCTGAATCAGTTGGAAAAGAGTAGAACTCAATGGCGATGCGCAGAGATTGGTTTCTGGCATTGTTTTTCGCTTATGCGGTTGTTTCGGAGGTAACCCATGCCTCGCTTTGGGACTCAAGAAAGTTGTTAGACCCGGCTCCAAAAGATAACACCACGACAACGTCGGCAGTAATTCTCTACTTTCTTGAAAAAAGTAAAAGAATGAAAGAAATAATCCTATATCTCTGTATTATTTTATCAGGTTTTCGTTTTCGCCTTTTAGGTTTCCCCAGTGATCAATCCGGCTTCTTCAGTGAATAACTCGGATTCTGTGCCCGTTAACGGAAAGAAGCATACTGAGCCGCCGCCACCAGCTCTTAACAACTCGTTGTCCAATGTGGATTCGAAAGTACTCAGTAATTCGAGTTCTGGTAGTCCACCACCTACTGTAAGCGAGACTGGTAACGGAAAGCCTTTTGTCACAAAGAAGAATAACGATACTGAAGCCGGTCCTCAATCAAGTAATCGTGAAAATTGTGATGGGATAGCAGACAAGAAGAAGTGCAGGGACCAGAAGAAGTTGGTTGCTTGTATCAAAAGTAATCTTATTGGTAAGTACGAGTTGCTCTTCCGCCCCTACTTGATTTACCATGCTTTTCCGTGTTCTTCCGTGAATTTTTTATTCTATTTGCTCCTACGTTAGAATTTTATGCTTCCAAAATCGTGCAATCAGAATTGTCGCTTACTAATTTTGTACTGCTATAGGTGATTAGTATTATTTTTTGCGAGCGTATCTGCTTAATCAGATGATATTTGAAAATTGTTGTTGGAAATAGTCAGTTATTTGGTAGTAAAGAATAAGACGTTGGGTATCTGCGGAAGTTGTATGCGTGCTCCAAGATAGTATACGGCAACCAAACCTGTATTATGGAATTAAAGTTGGCATATGATCTCAGACGCAAAGCTCAAATAGTCAACCTTAACTAGCTAGGAGTACGCCAGTATTGATTTTCTTCCTCGTAATTGTTTGTGGTGTTGTCATTTCTAGAGGGACCTATGATGATGAAATAGTTATAGAGAGGATGAAATAGTTGTCATGGCAAAGAATATTGTCTTATAACTTATTGTCTTGAAGGATTTTAAGTTTTGGTCGTTAGGACCAATTGGTTAAATTTTACTGTACAATTGGTTTTTTAAACAGTATATAACAGGTTAACTGTTCGTGTTCCTTACGTTCTTTTGAGGATTTCTAAACTTGTTCCTGATAGTGATTGTTCGCACCCGGGGAAGGTCTTAGATCTCACTGTTTCTTGCATGTTATAAGATCAATTTTTAATTAGTTCATCATTGAGTCTAAAAACTAATGTGAACAGAATTTTATTTATATTTATATCTAATTTTAGTCGCAATATGAAAATCATTTCATCTAAAACGTTTTCACATTGCATGTTAACTAAATGTATTTGGGACTTCAAAATGTGATCAGTCTCTCCTTCATTGGCTGTATACAATGATTTAGACTGTGATATCACATTTTTTACARCAGATTTATCCAAGTAGTCACATGGGTCTGCCTACCTGTGGTGTAGCCTGCCCTGGTTACCCGATGTCATAGGATTAGCCCATAGTTCCTAGTTGTGATTGAAATTATAATAGATTATAATTTTCTTAGTGTCTTACATCTTATTAACTTTCCACTTCACTAATCAATATCAAATTTCTGAATAGACCTTCAGGTTTTAAACTACCCTATTACTTGATTAGAAAGGTGTGATTGCACTGCCGGTTCTTTTTACAAGAAACACACACTTTTCATTGATATTTGAAAAGTTACAAGAAACCAAACTCCTACAACAAGCCTACCCAAAATAGAAGATTCTACACTTTAAAATCTTCAAAACCAGAAGATTGCACTGTCACGTGTTCTCACATCCTTTACCATGATCTGGTGTTGGATTAGCTTTAGTGGCATGGCAGAGGATGGTATTTTAGAAAAGGTATCTGAAAATGAGATATATATTGATTTCTTTCTACATATTTTTCTCCTGAATTTTTCGTACAATATGTTAGAAACTATTTTCCAAGTTTTCCTATTTGCTTACAAATTGGCAGTGTGAAGATGATAAGTTGAACTGACTGCAGTGATACTGTAAAAAGTATGCGTGATTCATAACATAGAAAATGACTATTACTGGTTAATAACTAGTCGAGCATATTTATGTTGGGAACTTGAGAAAGTTCTAATTATATTATGAAAATAATCATTGGAAGTCAAACTCTTGAAACCTTCTAATTTTGACTAAATACTGTATCATTCCAAGTGTGATGTGCATAATTAGATGTGTTGACCTTGCATAAATAGTCTCAAATATTAAAAGTGCACAATTTACGTGCCATGTCATGCATCTCTAAAGTCTGAGTTAACTTAATATATTCATGTGAAGGTATCAGTATGACATTCCCTTGGCATTGAGATGTATTAAACCTTCCTTAACTAACGAATCACGGCATACCACTGCTATATAGGTTCACAGTATTTATTTACTCAATCACATTTACTTTGTAAGGCTTTTAACCAAATTAAGAGCTATAGTGTGGAATTGATATGCTTGTTTCCAAAACCATAGAAACCTATTCAGAAGTCACAACTGTATGTCAGAAATCTTTTTTTTTTCAAGGTAAGGGGATGAAAGCCAAGCCCTCTAATTAGCTAAAATATCATTAATAGAGTAATTGCAAAAAGTTATACTAAGCCTACTCATGAAGCTGCAACAAGGAGTACATTGTCCATAAAAGACAAAAAGTTCTTTATCTTTTTTTAGATAAGGAAAAAAAAAAGTTCTTTATCTGTTCTTAAAAAAAATATAATTTCTTTCTATCCTAGTGCACCAACGGAAACTCCTAATTGAGTTGAGCCAAAATACTTTTATCTTATCTTTGAACGGATGATTAAAGTAAAAAAGAGGATAGATTGTTGGCCACCTTGAGATCAAAAGCACTAGATCATCCAGAAGAGGAAAACAGCATGTTGAAAAATTTTGTTGCTTGGCCAGAATGAATGAATAAATGTTTCTGGGATTCCCTTGCCTTTTTACACATGATGCACCAATTTGGAGAGAGTTGGAAGGCATTCTCCTTTACAATTTATATGAAGTGTTATACTTTCAAGGAGGATTTCCCGAATGAGAGCTTTCCCTTTCTAAGGATTCAAGTGGCAAATTCCGAGAGCTAACATTATCAGCAAGGGAGAGACCTTCTATGCTGCCTATTAATGAAAGCCAGTCTTGGAATTCTTCTCCTTTTGATTTCTCCTAAATGATAGGTTCCAGCTTGTAGAGCTCCACAAAAAAGCCACTGTTTAGCATTTACTTAAGGAGATGGAGTAGCGGCTGGGGTTAAGGGTATGCAGAGGAGAATTTACCACCCATCTATTTTCCCAAAGAAAGAGTATTATGGTCGTTTTCTACCTTGATGGTATCCCTTGAGGAGATCAAAGGGGTCTGGGAAGGCCAAAATCTTTCCAAAGGCCATTCAGATCTTTTGGCAACTTGTTCATTGGACCACCAATCTGAGGAAGAGGAGCCATACTTGGCCTTAATCACTTTCCTCCAAATAGCTGATTTCTCATGAGCAAATTGCCAAGGCCATTAGCAAGAAGGGCTCTATTTTTCTATTAAAGATCCCTTATACTCATTGCACATGAGAGAGTAGAGCAGGAGACTTTCTTCCAAAACTCAAGGTTAGACGCTGCACTTTTCGAATGATCTTCCCAATCGACTCATGACTCTCTCAATAGCTTCAGCAACTTTCTTCGGCCTTTTAAATACGAGGGAAGGCTTGAGACTCTTGAGAGAGAAGCTTGGATCAAGATTAGCTGCCCACCTTTGGAAAAAGGAGCTTTATTCTGTTGGATCTTCTCAAGAATAGGGTCCCAAAGGGAAGCTTTTTCTGGATCATCCTTTATGGGAAGACCAAGGTAGCTACTTTGGCCATGAATCTGTAGTGAAATTAAAAATGAGGGCTGTGTTGTGCACTGAGGATCTTCACAATTTTTCCCCATAGTGAATAAAAATGAAGGCTTTGTTGTGCACTGACAGATGAGCTACCCGTCTGTCCAAGGTTGAGATTAAATTCCAAGGCTGTTTAAAAAATCTTTTTTACTTTCAAAATATTTTGGAGATTTGAGTCCAAATGGATAAGAAAAGGATGGTATCATCGTGGAATTGAAGATGGTTGATGAAAATGCTACAATCCACCGAGAAACTTTCAATAAAACTGGAAGATTGCCCTTTGAGGAGTAACCTGCTAAAAGAATCTATGGTGAGAGCGAATATAAAGGGAGATAGGAGAACCTTGGCAGATACCTTCAGTGGCTGAAAATTTTCCTCTCGACCTCCCATTTTCATAACCAAACGGTTTGCACTGGAGATGCTTCCAATGATCCAGAACTCCAACAATGACCTAAACCCTTTTTACATTGAGGATAGCATCCAAGGAGCTCCAATCAACCTTATTAAAGGCATCTTTAATACCAAGCTTGATAATCATCCTTTTATTGCCCTTTCTAATCCACTCCTCAATGAGCTCATTTGCAATAAGGCAAGAGTCAATTATTTTCCTTCCCTCAATGAAGACTAATTGATGCTCAGTCACCGTATGAGGAAGTCTATTTTTGGCATCCCGGCCAACACTTTGGTGATAATTGTGGACATACTTGTGAGGCTTATGGTCTAAAAGTCTTTGACATTTTTGGCATCCATTTTCTTAGGAATAAGGCACAAGTATGTTACATTAATGCTAGCATTCGTAATCCCATTCTGGAAATAGTCGTAGAACACCTTCGTTATGTATCATACTCCACATTTTGAATTTTTAACCCCTGATCTTTCTAAATAGCCAAATTAGTTGGTCCATCCTAATTAAGACTTAAACCAAAACACGTTCATTATCCTGTTCAAATATTTTCTTCTTATTTTTCTGGCCCAAACAGAATATTTGACTTGAATTTTAACTTATTAGAGGTATGATATTCATATCTCTAATGCGGAACAAAGAAAAAAAGGAATTAAATACTTGCAATGTATAGAACTTTATTGAAAAGAAGAATAACGTACTTTGCATATTTCCTTTCTGTCAACGTAAATAAGAAGAGACGAATTTGGTCACTTAAAGGACCTAAAAACTTGAAAGGAAAATGAGTATAGGAGGCATCTTTTTGTGACACGGGCCGAGTATGAAGGTCTTCTTTTTTATGTTTATATTTGTTAATTCAGTTAGTTTACTCTCTCATCGGGCAAGTCAGTGATTGAAGCAGAATATTCTTATCAGGAGCTAGAGCTAGTATCCCTTTGTGAATTCTTAAGGCTTAAATTTTAAATCAAAATGAAAATTTTGTTTTATATTCACTGTTTTGATGTGTAGATTCACTGATCAGAGATCTCTATACTTAAAAGTTAAAATGTGGTTGTGAATTATTATCTTCTTAGAATATTCTATTGGTGGAAATGCTTATTTCTGTAGGGAAATCATGTGCTCTTAATTAATGCTTATTTCTGTATGAAACCTGGGCTGGGACTGCCTCATTCAGTTTCACACTGAAACAAGTGATGGCATATTGATACATCATGTATATGTTATGAGGGTTTCTTTAATGCATGTCTACTTGGTGGAACTCAATGGCTTTTACCGCTCTGTAACTTTTGGGGTTGGATTGATGAATTTCTTAAATTGGTAGACGTTGCTTAGTTTCTGATATATTGACTACGTGATGAGAATAACCTTTTATTTACATCTTTTTCCTTGTTGAAGAGTCCAGAGATTTGGCTGTTCTAGTCCTGAATAAAGGAGAAGATACATTGGAAGTGAATGTGACCGGAAGAAACTTTTTCAAGGGGCTTAAGATTTTAAAATATCATGCGGAAAGGGTAAGAACTTATAATTTCAAACTGCTGAAAGCAAATTATCTACATTTTAATGGTTTAGTTCTGTTCACGTATCAAATTTTTGTGCTAGTTCTTTCTTGTCTGGGTGGTTGAGTTCATTGCTTTCATTGTGCATATGACCTGTGAAAATATTAAGACAGTTCCCATTCTATTTTAGTTCCAGTTATTTTTCCATTCACTGCAGTCCTTTAAAAATCTTACTCTTGTTTTTTTGACTTGTTTGCATCTGCCAGGATCTTTTCCCT